AGTTAGAATACAGTCATGAAACTCGAGGTTTCAGTATTTTTTCTTCATTGCTAATGAAACTATATTAAGCAATTGTGAAAAGTCCCCTTATAGAAATTTAACGAGTTGTAGGAAGACATATCCTGCTTCCTGAGGAAAATGCGGTGAAACTAACTGTAATGATAATAGTACAAGGAACAGTTCCACTCCTTGTCTACAGGTGAATGATAAAGCAGACATTGAGCCACTGCTTTGCGTCTGAAGCATGAACAGGTGTGTTATAAACCTGTATGTGAGATAGTGACTCAGCATTCTCTACCTGAGTCGTTTGTGTATACACATAGGTACATGACGTAGGTATATTGAAAAATACCAACCCACTCTCCCTCAACAGTTCTATACAGCAACACGCATATGTTACATGGCACTTGTTCTAGCCAAGAGAATGGCACTGAGTCTTATGGAATTCTAATACTAGACGTTTTACAGGAGATAATTTTCACCTGGATAATGTGTGTTACCTTTATTCTTTGTTTATTAACGGTTTAAGAGGACAAGTTAAAATAGATGACAAGTGCAGTTTTTTGCTGGACTAATTTCTAATGGACTGTCACTTGGATTTACAAATAAACCAGAAATAGTTATAAATACATATATGTTTATATGGAATACATAGCCAGATTTCTGTATATTCCTGCTTTGGAGAGATGAAGTGGACGAGTGATTGATTTTTTTTCCCTGTTCCATGTGATGGACTAGATGTCGCTGACATGAAGTGAGATCACAGATTAATACAGAATTTGTGTTCATTTGTAATAATCGATAGACACAGTGTTTGATTCAAAGCAAAGTAAATTATGAATTCAATCAAAATGGTTTTGCTCCTGAAAATTCATTCAGATACACCCTGGACCATTATGTACTGGGTAAGTGGTTTTTTTGTTGCAGGGAAAATTTTGTATTAAATTTTTGTTTAGTATATGTTGTTTGCTGAGAAGAGAGATACTTCCTTCACATAGCTGTAGGAAATTTATGTAAGGTAATTGATAAATTGTTATTTGTTGTGGTCAGGGAGGAGAGGGGTTATCTTTGTAAGTGTGGTCAGAGTGATCCTGGTATATTTAAATGCTATTTGAAGAAAGACATACTTTATTTAGTAGATGGTTTTGTGGGAGAGACACTTGCTTTTGGTAAATTATATTGGTGAAGGATTATTAATGGTATTTAAGGTAAGGGAGGGGGGACACTTCTGATAAGTGTTGAGAAGACAGTTAATTTACCTTGAATCTTTCACCAAATGATTTCCTAACATCACTACTTTACTAGACAGTATTGGCTTGAAGATGATGGATGGTATTTATTCAAGTAACAGAAACCTGTCAAAATCAGTGAAAATAAAGAGAGGGTGGGGAAGTGGGGGGGGGGGGGAGTGTTGTTTAAGGCATGATAAAGCAAATTGTCCTATGTAGTAAGTGATTTGGAGATATAGTTATTAGTACAGACTGAGATTCTGTCTTAGTTGATATTTTGACAACATTATGACAGAATCACACAACCAGGTTAGATCTGACATAATGAGATCACTGAACTCGAATGTGAATCCTTGTGTTACCACTATAGTTTGGGGAGAGGTCGACTCATATTCAGGTCCTAGTTCCCCAACATTGTTGCGAAACTTTGGCACCCTCAGTCCTTCGTCACCGCTGAGTTGATTCGTCGTAAGATATACACATGACAATTTATTACACATATTATAGAGCGGAACAAACAAAGCATTTTAAATAAACTACAATTTTTGTATCATATTTTTTTTTTGTTTTTCAAATTAAACTAAATCTGCAGACTCATTCGTACACAATATGTATTGCTGTTGAGCAGGTCACCTGACCATTTAAAACTTGAGGGTAGATTTATAGTCTATTGTGTTGTACAACCAAGGGAAATCCAGTCTTACACAAGGTATTACAGTGTTCTGTCTAATGCTGCCATCATGCAAGTAACTGTTGGAATCACGGAATTACTGATAACTCACTGTATACCCAGGTAATTGATAACAACACATCCAGATAGTTGCCTCTCTTAAAATTGTTTACAGAAAAAACCTAACCAAAATATAAAATGGGATTGAAAATTGTTGACGAGACTATGGTTTTCCTCGTTAGTGAATTCTGTTATATATACTAGAACTTAAAATGTTAGCTTACTGTATATGGAAAAGATCTACAGTAGATAAAAATAGTGTTTCTGAATGTCCTAGTCTTGAGAAAGATATATTGTTTTTAAAAATATTTCACTTACTAAATTGATCTGTTATCATGTTATTATTTTACTATAAATTGACCCATAATTCAACATTTAGTTCTAAAATTCACTTGGAGATAATCTAGCTTCTTTTGTTGATGTTAAAGATAAGTCAGTATTGCAGGAGTTTTCATCCATTTCCAGTGCAAACATTTGCGACATGCCCTAATATCATTGTGTCTCATGCGTCCTCTCTTTCTGTGATTGACTGAAATGAAAAAGCTGTTCATTCAAAACTTCCTGCTTTTTAAATGTTTTTGTCTGGATTTGATCAATACTTGTACCATCCGTTATCAATTATTAGAGCTATGGATTTGAATGGAAGAGACAATAAATTCATCCTCGAAGATGAAAGACTGATTGATTTAAACCTATCATCTGTCATAGTGATTCCTTTTTACTTTCATTATGAGATTAATCTGTGTTGGGTAAAACACCAAAAAAGAAAAATATTTAAGTAACCAGGCTACTTTGATTTTGATAGCCATCCTTGGAGATCTTTTATCCAGATTTATAGGAAATCAATATTTGTATGCTTAAGACAGTGTGAAATCTTCACTCAAAAAATGAATGTAATCTGTGGTCTCAGTATCATTATATCACACTTAACAATTACATAATGTTTTAGCCTTGTAAACATATTCAAATTTGCGTCATTCGTCATTTAAAGTCAGTGACGTCAAGATTCCATTTTTTACAAACATTTAATTCAGATTTATTATGTTAGAAATTTAACCTAAATAACTGACATACTAATATCATGAGTTCATTTTTATCAAAATAAGAAATAAAACTTTCTTAAAAACAGATTTCAGTGACATTGCAATTCATTTAACTTAAATATTAAAATCTCTTTAAATGAATTGAATATTTGATAACAACTTCTTCATGATTTGATCCTGATACAAATTAAAGATTTCAAAATCAAGAACAGAAAAAAGAAAACACACTCGAATATTCAGTAATCCAGTACAGTAGTATTTGAATTTTATTTATTGTAAATGTTGTATGTAAATATACATAAAACTCTTTATAAAAATCTTACAATCTTTCATATATATTTATTAGTGATCCAGTATTGTGGATAAATAACCCTATAAAAGTTTTATTCTGTTGTGATAAATCAAATGTTTGGTGAATTTATATCATATTTACAATAATTTGCAAATATGATGTAATACTAAAATGAATATTAGTATGGGTAGATTACTAAATTTCAGTCTAGTAGACAAATAAAGAATATTACTTTCCTAAGAAATAAATAATAAAAAACATAGGACTGTTTGTAGTAAGAGTCTGAAGAAAGTGGAAAAGCTTTACAAATAGTCTTGTATGTCTTAATATTACTGTTATATTTTATATCTCTAACGTATTAATAGTTACAAGATTCTTGATATCATTAAATTCAACCAGGTGACATATGTTTATATTATGATGGCAGTTATATTTGATATCTACATTTAATAAATAGAAGTTAGAAAAATCTGTAATATTTAAATTCATCAAGGTATGAAGAAGATATTTATAAAAAAAAATCTTTGATATTTAAATTCATTAAGGTACAAATGCAATAATTAGAAAACTCTTGGCAACATCTTGTTTTAATGGGTCTGGTACATATTCAATTAGGAGCTATATTGCAGTACTCCAGCAAATGGCACCATATTTCATATCACTTCAAAAGTTTTTTTAAAAGTTTTCAGATATATATTCATAGTGGTTTTAACTTTGAAGATATATATCTGTTCAGCACATACAATCACTAAGGAGCTATGAGACATAATTGAAAATTTATTTTGCGAATTTCGTAGTTTCAGTTTTACTATTTTTTAAATTGATTCCAACTATATACCTGATGATATCTTAAAATGTACATTAATTTTGCATTTAGATTTCCTATCATAGAGTAAATATTTATTTTCATTGTAGAGTTTTTAACAATTTGAATGTGTTTTTTTATGCACATGGCTAACGAAAATTGCAATTAATTCAGAGATGAATTCCATTAACACTACCTTTGTTAAGATTGTATTGGTGAGCTGCTCAACAAAGTGGTTCAACACTTGATGAACTCATCAGTGTTACATGAATTGTGTTGTGAAATTTTGTTTGTAGATATATATATATATTAATATACACAGCTTTTTTTACACGGAATTCAGAAGGAATCCGTGACTTCTGCATTAATATCAATCCTTGCATTTGTCGTCTATTTTATTTGTACTTGGAAATGAGATAAATGCTCTTAAACCATACAAAATTCCTTAAGACTTGTTTATGGGTACTTTTTGGTAGCTTTACAAGGACAAGTCTAGAGAATTCTGTACTGGCACTCATTGCAAGAATGCAAAAAAATTGAAGTTGTTAGGGAAAAATGAGGGAAAGTACTTAGTTTACAATGTGTAATTTACATCAAATACTTAGTTCAAAACCTTTAATTTTTGCCAATGTATGATTTATAACTACCAGGGTATGTTGTAAATTATATAAAACTTAGCTTGAATGCCGATCCATGCAAGGGTTGCAAAATTAGCATTTTCCTATAGGAAGGAGTTGTAACATGGACAGGTAGTCAGAATATTTTAGTCTAGCATGTCCTGGACCCTGTCTGGTAAACTTATTACTTTGTTAACTAGAGTCTACATAGTTACCTAGTAAAACGTGTATCAGGTTTGTAATACGAAGTAGGTAATACTTAATTTTGTTTTCTCTTTCCCCAGGTACAACAGTACATATGTCTTTCAACACTCAAATATCAGAACTGATGTTCCTAGGTAAGACTTTTACCTGTGACACACCAAGCAACCAACATGTCTGCCCAGGAAGTGTTTGAGAAGAAGGTCGAAAAGGGGATGAGTTCTTGTTATCGTCCTCGGCCTGTTACTACCGAGAAACCAACTGATGGTAGTATGCACTTTACTATCATGAAGCATCCAAAAGAAGCTTTGGATGTGATGAGTACTTTACGTCGTCTGACAAAATTGTGCGATGTGACGTTACTTGTTGGCGAGGAAAAGATCCTTGCGCACAAAATTGTACTTGCAGCGGCTAGTCCGTATTTCCGTGCAATGTTTACTGGTGGCATGCGGGAAGAAGAGATGTCCACTATCCCACTGCATGGAATATCACATCATACACTTAGTGTTCTTATAGACTTCGCTTATACAGCTGAAGTTCGAGTTAACGAAATGAATGTATGTTACTTATTACCTGCAGCCACCATGTTCCAGATGAATCATATAGTTGAAGCTTGTAGTGTGTTCCTTGAGCACCAACTTGACTGTAGTAACTGTATCGGTATCTCTGACTTTGCCAGTGAACATGGCTGTCTTGAATTGGAAACCAAAGCTAGAGAATTCATATACAGAAACTTTTCTGAAGTGATAAAATGTGATGAGTTTCTTATGCTAAATCCAGGTCAGCTTATTAACCTCATCAAGCATGATGAGCTGAACATTAATTGTGAGTCTGAGATTTTCAATGCTGTGATACGTTGGGTGCAACATGATGCAGAGAAGAGGTTGTGTAAGCTAGAAGGACTATTGTATGCTGTTAGGTGCCATTTTCTGTCCCCTCATTTCCTTGAAAAACAATTAACATCATGTAACATTTTAAAGAAAATGCCCCAGTGCCAGGAATATTTGTCAAAGATCTTCCAGGGTCTGAAGCTTCACCAGACTTGTCCAGAGAAACCAAGAAAACCTTGTTCTCCTTTGGTAGTGTTTACAGCAGGGGGGTACCTCAGACAATCTCTTAGTAATTTTGAATGTTATAATCCCTGTACAAAACAATGGACTCGTTTGCCAGACCTCCCCACACCACGGAGTGGGTTATGTGCTTGTCTTGTGAAAGGGTCTTTTTATGCAGTGGGGGGAAGGAACAATTCACCCGATGGAAACATGGACTCCAATTCAATGGATGTGTTTGATCCGATCCGAAACATGTGGTTTTCTAAGTGTCCGATGGCTGTACCAAGGAACCGTGTGGGTGTAGGTGTGATTGACAACATGATTTATGCAGTTGGCGGATCACAAGGACAGCAGCATCACAGTACTGTGGAAAGGTAGGTACTGATTGGTGTAACGGGGTAAATTTTGTAGGCAATGGGTAACACAGAAACAGCATCATAGCACTGTAGAAAGATAAGTTACTGATTGGTGTAACTGGATACATATTATAGGTTAAATGTCACACAGGAAATAGCATTATAAAACTGGACTGTAGGTAATTTACAGGAGAAACTAGGTACATATTGTAGGCTACAGGTCATAGGGAAATCAGTGTCATAACTGCACAATGGAATTGTAGCACTGAGAAAAAAAGTCTGTAGCAGGAGACAGGTCACATGGGCAACCAAATGTAGCGGGAGACAGGTCACATGGGCAACCAAATGTAGCGGGAGACAGGTCACATGGGCAACCAAATGTAGCGGGAGACAGGTCACATAGGCAACCAAATGTAGCGGGAGACAGGTCACATGGGCAACCACATGTAGCGGGAGACAGGTCACATGGGCAACCAAATGTAGCGGGAGACAGGTCACATGGGCAACCAAATGTAGCGGGAGACAGGTCACATGGGCAACCAAATGTAGCGGGAGACAGGTCACATGGGCAACCAAATGTAGCGGGAGACAGGTCACATGGGCAACCAAATGTAGCGGGAGACAGGTCACATGGGCAACCACATGTAGCGGGAGACAGGTCACATGGGCAACCAAATGTAGCAGGAGACAGGTCACTTGGGCAACTAAATGTAGCGGGAGACAGGTCACATGGGCAACCAAAGCATAGTCATATCACAAAGTGAGACACTTGTGCTTTGGTTGTATGGATGGAAAACATTGCAATTTTTTATCAAGGCACCATTGACATGAAGGTTCTGATAAAAGAGAATTTAAAAATGCAGTGAGAATTAGAAAAAACATTGTCAATATCATAATACATGTGCATGTAGTTAGGCTTTCTACATCAAGTTTTGGAGATTGTTTACCTAGCTTGGTCTCTAAATCAAGTTTTCAACAGCTGCTTAAATGCATGTTGTAGATAATAAAAAGTCCATACAAGTGCAAACCATTTTAGAAAAAATAAATTAAAAATTTTCTATCACGTTCTCTTATCACTGATAAACAAGATAGGAGGAAATGTTCCCTACAGCCATGCATTACAGGTATGTGTTACAAATAGGGAGTGACTGCAATCCAATGTTGTTCTAACGCTTGTGTCACTTGTCAAAAATTTGCACCTAATCAGTTGGATTTAAACATTTGAGCCTTATAGCGAAAGATTTTTAAACCTTGACCCGAGAAGAAAGAGAGCTGGTAGTTTGGTGAGCGAACATACCCTTGTGAGAGATAATACTTGTCCTTGCTAAAGGACATTAGGTAGAGAAAGGAGAGACATGAGTTACATTGTACTTGTGTTACTTCAACAAAAACCAGTAGTAGGGGTAGAATATCTTGGATTTCATTTTACTCTTTCATTTGATGTGAAAATCTATGTAGAAGTATTGAGCCTTTGAAGATGAATTTCTAGGAAAGCAGATTTATACACACGAAACAAGAGATGCTGGTCGGGATTATATTAAGCGTAGTTGGGGAGACAGTTTCAGGTGGATTAAAAAGGGAGATGTAGGCATCAGGTTAAAACAGTCAGATGGACACAAAAGATATCAGCAAGTAGAGTTATTTCTAGGTTTGATACAAACTACAAAGAGTATAGGCTTTCTGTCAAAACTTTTAACTGTAAGCTCATCTGCTGATATTGATAACATAAATGTGTATAGTCAGCACATAAAAGTAGGTACTGCTTTCTTTAAAAAACTATGATTTACAAAAATGTATTTAAATTTAGAAACCTTTTTTTTTAATATCTTTTTATATTATGATGACCATCCTTGTAAATAATTTTACAAAACTGTTTTTTTTTAAATCTCTCTAAATGATTATAAATGTCCATGTAAATAATAAAACAAAACTCTCTTAAAATCTTTATATATTATTATGATCAACGCAATAAACAATCAAACATACAAGATTTTTTTTTAATTTTATGTATCTAACAAATCTCTTTAGAATCTCTATATCATGTTGATCACTGTGTTAAATAATCAAACAAATTTCTTTTTTAAGTCTATATATATTTTGATAATCATCCTAGTGTATAATCCTTACAATATTATGATATCCTACCAATACAAATACTGGCCCAGATCATTCAAGTGAAACAGACTTTCAGTTCTCAGACTGACCCAAATCAATCAAGTGAAACATTGTAGTGAAAGGATTATGTGTCAACAGATATCTATTTTATATTGCCCACAGATTGATTAAGAATCACATGTCTCCTGTCTTAGTCAAATGTTCCTAGTTCTTTGTGACATTATAAATTTTATAGCATTTAGTGGTTAAACTAACGCCCATATTTTAACTGAAGTTTTATTTGATATAGTGATCTTATTGGATTCTGAACTGTGTCACAAACTTGGTTAATGTCGGTTAAACGTAGATTTTCATAACTGCGTCACAAACTTGGTTAATGTTGGTTAAACATAGATTTTCAGAACTGTGTCACAAACTTGGTTAATGTCAGTTAAACGTAGATTTTCAGAACTGTGTCACAAACTTGGTTAATGTCGGTTAAGCGTAGATTTTCATAACTGTGTCACAAACTTGGTTAATGTTGGTTAAGTGTAGATTTTCATAACTGTGTGACAAACTTGGTTAATGTCTGTTAAGGGTAGATTTTCAGAATTGTGTCGAACACTTGGTTTATATAGTTGAGTGTCGACTTCTCAGATATTGTATAACAATCTAAACAGCAAAAATAGATGGAAATTTTTGTTAGAATGACATGATACATTACTCCAACCAGTTTATATCATATAACTTGGCAGGGATGGAAAAATTAAATAATTTATACATTATGGTTAGTGCAGCATATGAAAATATTGCTGACTAATAAAAACTTGGGTTTTTGAATGGAAATTTGTATAGATCTCTTTCAAGCTCATGTATATACATCTACTAGGGAATTAAATTCTTTTTTTTTTTTACTTCAAAATTGCCATGTACATAATACACCGTGTATATATCCTATATTGTGTATTCATCATAGCCACATGTAAATTTGCTGTATCATGTCCATAATTAATGTTGTCAGAACATTCGGTTGATTTTAAAATTTAAAAAAATGAATTAACAACCCAGGAAACACTTTAATTAGATTAAACAGTCTTACCATATCACAGTTTAATTACTGATTATGATGAGAGGATTTGTTTGTTTTATGGAAATATTACAAGAAACAATGTGTTAAATTCTAATATCAGATGCATAAATAAATGGAATCTGCAGTACTTAATTAGTCATTATACTACCAAAATCTTCAATTCTGAAATTAAAAAAAAAAGACAAAAATCATAATGGTTAAGACTATAATCTAAAACTGATGCTGATTTGAAAAAAAGGACACTCTCACAGCTCACAGTGTATGAAATCTAATATTTATTTTATATTTATAAAAATTTGAAGATTATCGCTCAAAATTATGGAAATTTATTTTCAATAATTTGCCTTTAATTATAACAGATTAAATAGCCTGTATGACAACTTTGGTATGGAGTTGTTGTGAATATCTCAAATGAAGGGTGGATAGGATTTATTATTGTGTTGATATACTAGAGGGGGTGAACAGAATCTGCAGAGTCATACTGAACTTATGAAAAGACTTAATCTGCATGTCTAATATAAATTTACGGTAGCTGATAGTCAGTACTTCATACATTAGTCATGAATGCCACCCATTGAACACACCAGGCAGATAGTATCAATGGATATTGACAATTTACCTGTATTAGTTATTGTTTTATTACCTACCTTTAACAAGCCGTTGTCCATCTGGACAAAGGACAATATCTTACTAGACCGGTGTTCTGTTAGCCATGATCAGGCTGTATGTGTGTGGATTGGTTGGTCAGACAGATAACACATTGTGGTTCGGTATCGGGTATGCCTACAATGACAAAGGCATTTCCATTCTCAGCTTTATTTATTATTAATTAACTTAAATTCAACATGGTAATTATTTTTGGTATCAGCATTCAGGATCTCAAATTGAATATTTTGTTTTTTTATTACAAAATATAGTGTAAATTATTAGGATTAACCATTGATGACTACACATATATATTAAAACACTGCAGGTACCCCCCAATAAATCTGAAATTGTCCTGTATCTGCAATAAAACTGGTGCTTTTATCATTACATTATAAAAAATGATAAAAGAGAAAATTTTATATATTACTGGGATAACCATTGTATTAATTTAGTATAGTAGCATTAGTTTAGGAGATGTGATTGCTTGTGACTAATATTAACCAAAGATATTACATTTATTTTCAGGTATGATCCTGACCATGATCGCTGGACGATGGTGGCTTCCATGGGGTCTAAGAGGATCGGTGTGGGAGTGGCTGTTGTAAACAGACTCATGTATGCAGTCGGAGGCTATGATGGTTCAAATCGGCTACGGAGCATGGAATGTTATGACCCTGAAAAGGATGAATGGAAATTTAAGGCTCCTATGAACACAACACGCAGTGGTGCTGGTAAGTTGTATGGAAGTAGCAGAAATTTTGTTTACCATATTTATCCAGTGATAAACCTTTGTATGGAAGTAAACCCACCCATATACAGCATTACTGCCAAAGTTAATGAGTGATTATAGATACAGAGGGACAAGGTTAATGCATTGCTAGTAAAATTTAATGGATAACGCTGTTTTTAAAGTTGCATACTATCTCCTTTTCAAATATTGTTATAACAATTTCTAAAGTCTGCAATTAAAGATATGCTTGTACGTTGTGCTGTAGGTATTATTGGAATGGACTGCCATGTATATGCTGTTGGAGGTTATGACAGCAATTGCCAGCTTAGGACAGTGGAGCGGTACTGTACTATGTCCAATAAGTGGGAGTTTGTGGCCAATATGAGGAGTCCTCGGAGTGCCCTCAGTGTGGCCGTCCTCGGGGGCAAACTGTATGCTTTAGGTAAGACATATCAACTGCAAAATGGTTTCGGAAATTAAGTATTATAAATATTTTGAAAGAGATATTTTAACTAGATGAATTACTGTGGTTAATGAAATTGACGCAGAAAAGACAGATTTAGCAAATTTTAATTAAACTGTATATATATATATCTTGGATAGAGAATATCATCTGCTTACTAGCAAACTCTTCTTAGTAACTTAGTTCCTGTTATTGTTAGTAATGCATTTAGAAAGTGAAAGTATGAAAATACCTACATTGTAATTCAGTGGATTTGGATATAGGGGAAAAGAGCCGCCACTTAAAATCTTTTATGTTCTTTTCTTATAGGTGGATATGATGGTAATGATTTCCTCTCATCAGTGGAGTGTTATGATCCAGACAAGAATGAGTGGGTAGAAGTTACGAACATGACTTGTGGCCGAAGTGGTCACGGCGTTGCAGTTGGTGCAGAACCTTGTCGCAGCTGACATCAGTAATATTCTTGCATCTGATTGGACAGTTTGAATACAGATGTAAAGCTGTGTAGGACTACATTGTGAAGGATTTAAATCTCTGATATTTCTGAAAAGAAGGTCTGCTGTGATAGTAACTGGACCGGCAAGCTGACTGATGTACTGGTTCAGGTTTGGGAAACGCTGTCACTTGGAAATCTTATTGTTGTCTTCTAGTTCCCATTAAATTCACAATCAAAAACATACCCACATGGATTGCCATCTACAATCAAATTGTTCAGAAACAAAATGAGAATCTCCTTCTAATTTACTGTGTTACCAAATATAGACTGATGAGTTACAGAAATGCCCTTTCGCTGATGAGACATTCCATTTTCAGATTTAATTTTTTATTTTGGAGAGGGTGGGGAATTCTGAATATTCCTGTATTTATTTGCTTCATTAAATAAGGAATTTAATTTCATACAGATGAGACTTGTTCAAAATGATGTTTATCCATTTCTTGCCTGATAGAGTAACAAACAAACTCTATAAATTAATCGCTATAGATAATGGAACCATGTGTTACACGAGTATTTCTGTAGGTAGTATGACAGCTAAATATTTAAACATAATCTTCATGTTTTGATATGACATGATTACTGGTAAAAATGTCACCAAAACAACCCAGTTACTTTCTGAAACATCTGATTAAGAAAAAAATTTCATTTTAGAATTTGTTTAAAATTACAAGTAATGTGAAAATGAAGAAAGTTTTAATCAATTTTAAAAAAATTGTGAAAATTTTTATTAATTTTCTTTCTGTTTGATTACATTACTTTAAGTTTATTTTAAAAACAATACTATTATCCGTCTACTGGAGAAGGTCAGAGGTGACTTCCTGTTGTTATATTAAAAAAACTAACAATCTCGCTCAAATATAAAACAACTTAGCTAGCCAAGCGAACTTACAAAAGGCCAGAGAGACCTCCCGGACAATGGGTGATATATTTGTTGTGCAAGGAAGAACAGATGGAGAAATTTTGCTCATCTCAAATGAATTTTGAGAAAACTATGAACTGTTCAATATGATATACAATTATTTGATTACATAAGTCTTTCAGTTTCAGTGTACATATGCCATTGATCAATACCTCTTATTTATTGTTGTGTTGTCCTCTGTATTGTCGCAGTCATATATGTATACTGACTGTTACCATACTTATCGCTGTGCGTTACTCTCATGTAATCCCGCGTTGTAATCTGTATGGCTCCAGTCATACATGTATACTGACTGTTTCTATACTGATTGCTGTGCATTACTTTAATGTAATCCCACATTTATCAAAAATGTTGTGTACTATGCATATCACAAATACAGATGTACATCTTATGTTTGTAGAAGAAAATACATTCTTGTTTTATAAATTCATACCCCGAGCATCTTTTTTAATTTGGTGAAAAATACCCTACTGAATCAGGTGAAAGTTTTGTGTTATGTCCAAGTTGTGTGTTGATTTAAACCCATTAAGAGAGATAGGAAATCCAATTACAGCCACATTCATATAATATGCTTTTATTAAGCAATTATTCTGTATATATAATATAATAAAATGCTTGTATTCAAAGTACTTTTTCGTGATGACATAGACTTGTACAAGTTCTTAAATCTGTAATGATGATTCCTAAAATATGAAATAAATTTTTTGATTTTTTACTACTAATGACTAATGAAATTTATCTAATTCTTTGTAGCTGATTTAGATAAAATCTTAAATAAAAATTTTTTTTAATAAAATGCAGAAGAAAAAAGCATAAATATCTGAATTTGGTGATAATTCTTTTAAAACAAATTTGAGAACTTGAGCAAGTCTATAGTCGCAATTCCAGTGCAAAATTTGTACTGTAAAGAAAAAAATGTGATGTCAAGAAAGGGTGAAATTATAACATTTAAAGAAATATGAAAATATCAAAGAAAAAAAATAACATTTAACAAACAATTAGGCCTTAGAATCATATACCTAATTTGAATTCAATTACTGCACGATTTGACTGTTCTGTCCAACCTACTTACCGGTACTTGGAATTGTCCTCATAGCTGAAGAGAAGAAATTGTTCAGAAAATATATTAAATCATTCCATAAATATTGTACTAGATATATGTTATGGATATATCTGATTTGATAGGCATGTGATTTGGTTGATAATAGGTGAACAGATGCGTTGTTATAGTGTATTGTGGTTTTGTATCGGTTGTGTATGTTGTGTGTTGAAGCCCGTACTTAGTACAGGCGCTATTCAGGTGCTTATTTCTCGTTACTTGTCCCGGTGATAACTTAGAAGTACAACGTTGGAGACTGGGCAGTCCCACTCAGTATTGAACTTGTAGTACAAGTCAAGTGTTATGATTTTACCATGTACAACTTAATGTAAAATTAAAAATAATCAAAAGAATTTACATCTTGTTTGTTTCTTGAATCTTGTACTTATCACTACTCAATCTGACAAGGACTGACCTGTATAACATGAAATGTTTGTAGGTAATTTCCTTATCTAATTTATATTAGGACATCATTTCTTTGATAAAAATACTTGTGGTACTACTTAGTTAAATGTAAGTATACCTCTGCCAGTTGTTTTATCACTGGTCCTATTGTAGTGAAATTTTCTTCACAAACATTTTATGTTATACAGTAAGAGACAGATCATTCAGAACACAACCTTGGCTCATGAAGTTTTGAAATCGAGAAAGCAACAAGATTTTCATATGATTTAGAAGTAACTGTTGCTGAATAAAAGGTGTCTATGCAGCAGTTCTGACTTAAATAAATATGACTGTTATTTATTGATGCAAAATATTTAAATTTCGATCCCATTCTTTATCAAACCTTAACCAAAACATGTTTACCAGATAAACATTTGACAAGATATTCATCTCCAATTACAAATTGTACATCAATGCTAATTTTAAAAGGGTTTTCTGGCCTGAAAAAATAACATTCACTAATTTGGTGAGCTTCAACAAGAACAAATGTACAATATACTTAATTCAATTCATTATTTCTTGGTCATTTGTACAATTTTTGAGATTCCAAGTGATAGACAGAGAGTGCTAGTTGACATTTTAGTCCCCAATGTTTGCTGAAACATTCATGCCTGGTTTTAATTTATACACTTGTTCTTCACGTTCTTCTGAAATTATTAAATATAGGAAAAGAAATAAATTTATTCAGTTATGGGGTTAGTGTGCCCCCCTACTTAGGTTTTGACACTGGATTTCCCCCAGTCGCCCCATCCGCAACATTGAGAGCCTTAGAAGGACAGAACAGCTGTATGATGAGCTTACTTCATTATCTGACTCTACTCTACCTAATTCTAAATTTTAAAAGTCCGTGATTGTATTAAGATGTGCTATGAACGTTTGCGTATTGTGGACAATCTTTTTAATTTGGACAATGACCATATACTGGACATATGATAAGCATACATGGCTTATGATGGTCTTTCTTGCTGGGTGGAGAATGAAGGATTCTCGCGCAACGTCATCGTACCATACACTGGCTTCAATTTGGCGCGTTTTAAAATGCCCCTGCAAAATAAAGTCCGTTAAAAGCACGATCCTTATCCTGTTTTTCCAATTTTTAGCAGACGATATATGAATATATGTGAAATACTAAACGTTCGTTGTTTGTTTTGTTGCTGTGATATCAGAAAGACTGAAAAAATGAGCTGTTCTAAGATAATATTTTTTAGACGACAAACTGAATGTTTTAGTTGCTATTGTGTCTGTAAATTTCGGAATGAATTAACTTTTTTTTAATGAAGAAAAAACTGTTAATATAAGAATTGACACTCATTTTTTAATGTTATCGGTGGATTACTACAGAATTGAATAGTTAAAGTTCTAACTGTAATATCTTCCAGCGCCCAGCAGCCATTAATGATATGTGACAATGTGACGATATAGAACGCCAAAGAATTTCCTTACCATATAGCCATTTAAATGAGGTTTTATTTAATGGAAAATGGCGATTTTGCAATCTTTGAAAGAAATTTTCATCTTTGACTACAACACCAAATTTAAAACATTCTGACATCGTATCGTGCGTGAAGAAACCTCACACTCAAAACATTGTAATAGTTGACCAAACAAATGACACCAGGATGAAATCAACGTTTAATTTGATATTATAGAATTAATTGTTAAATCTACTTGTGCTCAGTAATATGTAATAGCTAGAATGTTGGTCAAACTGCTAACTGACGGAAGAACTTGCATGACGTAATCTGACGTCATCGACGGCTAATTCGCACATTTTTTACAGCTATTCATCTATTCAATCCAACTGGATTAACTGGATTATAAGCGACAATGATTTGTGATAGTTTTGAGATGATGAAGAAGAGCATCCTATATGATACAACAAATGTGTATCAGATATTTGCTGGATTCTCATCTAAGTTACCGCCATCACTATCGGCAACAAATCTAAAGACACCACAAATATTGAAATCCATCCTGAAATCGTGACTTGGACCCAACATTTATAAACAGTTTTTTTTTAAAATAATATTGCATTCAGCCCGGAATTTAAAATGCGTCAAAATATATATAAAAAATAACAATTCATCTTATTGTCCTGACAAATTCATTATTCATTTATTGTTTATTTTTTTGTACACTGTAACGTATTAAAATATTTACATAATTGAATGACAGCGATCAAGTAAACAGAAATTCCATTCGTAAAAAAGGAATTCCGACAGATCCACCACAAGGGGGAGTATTGTCATTGGAAAAATAATTGTAACGGATTAAGTAAAAAAAAAAACAACAACAGCCAAACAAACAAATAAAATCGCAGAATGAATCAGAAAATGGTAGTTAAGTCATTGGCGTGGCCAGCTTCTACTATTCGTTACGTTCTCAATAGGAGAACCACGGTAATTCATTTGTAAAGTTTAAACAATTGAATGTAGATGAAAAATTGCAATGAATTTATCCTGCAGCTGCGGTTGAGTTATCAGAATACACCAATCACATATGTTTTTTTACTGTATTCGGCAGTGATGTATATCAGCAGTATCGTCCTTCACACGTGCATAAATTCTGCAAAAATCCTTTCTAATTTACTTTAAAAATATAAATAAACGATTTTATTTGTTGTAACAAACAGGTATACTTACGAACATTTATAAAATTGCTATTCATATCCACTGAAGTGTGGAACTATATGGAGCAATTGTTTTAACGTGCGTCATTAGGCACAATTCGGCGTAACGTCAGCATCATGTAAACACAGATTGAGTAGACATAACGAACTGTTTATATATATTCACAGTTTCGATATTGTGAATGAAATAGAATATATGGTCAATGCCATTTCTGACTTTCCCAACCCTTGTCAAAACACAGCTTATATCTTAAGACACTACTGACCACGAATTCTTTACACCTGCCACACATATTTTGCTGAATTTTAGCGCGTGCGTCATTTGTACCGATTTACTTTCTGAATTAAAGAAAGATACATTTGTCTTTCTTCACCCTCTCAAAATACAATGTTTTAATACCATGCATTATCTATATCTAATTTATGTTATGATTAAAATTTATTTTCTGTATTTGAACAGTATAGATAAATAAATGAAATAACTATTACGTTATCTGCCTTTGTAGGCAATGAAAACAGGATATCTATTATCTTATCAATTATGAACGTGTAGTTTGACATCAGTAAAAGA